ATATGGTTCCCTCTTCATAAAGCCAGCTCAGGTGGGTGCCCATAAATCACTGTCTCTCCCAAAGGGCTTCATTCATCTATTGGTTGACTTGTTCATCCACTCATTCATCAGAGAAGTAGAGAGAACAGAAAAGGAGAGCTCAGACTCTGAGGTCAGGCTGGAAATGCCTCTCTATTACGTGGGGATCCTAACAGCACCTACCTCTAACGATGGCCTCAGCTGCTTAGAACTTTGCAACAACAAAAAGTCCAAGCTAGCTGGCATCCCATCAGTTGCCTTAGTGGCCCCACATGTTTCACAATAGAACTATGTTCCATTGGGTTGTCAATGGCTGGGACTGTTTGAAAGCAGATTGCCAGGACTTTCTTCCAAGGCATCTCTGGTTGAGTTAGTAGTCAAGTGCTTGTTCTTTGGGAGTTTATATTATTATGGTGGGGCACTGACTGGCCTGGAGACTGGAGAATGCACCCAGGAGGAAAGAATATCTGGGCCTGAAAAGAAAAGATGAGTGTTGAGAAGGGTGTCATGTGTGGAGGGAACAGCAGGTACAAAAGCTCAGAGGTTGAGAGACATTGACTTCTTGACGAGGCTCAGACAATCTCCTCAATTCTTTGTTCCCCTCCTGGCTAGTGCTTTGTTCCCCTCTGGCTAAGGCTACATAATCCATGAAACCTGGAGGGTCCAGCTAAGCATTGATGTGGAGCTGCTGACCAAACCAATTGCCTTTGAATTGAGTGATGCAAACACTTATGAACTTACCTGCTAACTGAAAGGCTGGAGGTTCAAGGCCACCCAGTGATGCCATGAAAGAAAGGCCTGGTAATCAGCTGTTTAAATATCCACAGACCAGATTCAGAAGAAGGAAAATAATGTTAAGATGCTTGACTGTCTTATGAATATTAGTTTCCCTTGTCTACTATTGTAAAATAGACACTTGAGTGGGATAGAAAGGAATGTCGGGAAACATGATTAGAGAAAACTTGTAAGCCCGTCTTCAGCCTGTAACTGGTTGGAATACCTAAAAAGGGTTCAAGAACTTGCCCAGTGAAATAGGCTTCTTGCAGAGCCTTTGCAGTGTATGGGACCTTAGGTGGAATTCTGAGCCCCATCCAGAGCCTTCTGAGGTGGAACATTCCCACTAGAAAGGACAAGCAGACCAGCCTGGAACAGCTAGAGCAATACAAGATGCATCTTCAAAGAAAGACCATCAGGAAAAACCCAAAACAAAAATGGCAGTATGACTGGCAAGTTATTTGCGGAGGAACCATCAAGGCAAACAGTCAAGTTCCTTCAAGACAAACCCCCCTTCAAGACTGAAACGCAAAGGGAACACATGAGCAGGTGTGTAAGCTTTCTGGTGACCATGTTGGTCTACTGGTAAGTGGAAGAGGGGGAGAGGCAGCGATGAATAAATGGGTGGAGTTCAACCATATTCCATTGACTCCCGTTGACCTGGAGATGAGAGAGAGAAGAGGAAGGGTTGATTGGTCCGAAATGTGGTGAGAACTGGGGACTCCTGAGTCCATGGACAAGGACATAGCTATGGAGGGCTAGAGCTGAGAGTGAAGCGTCCAGCTGATATGAAATGAGGAGACATGCACAAGAACACCCAAACTTGCAGACAGTATCCATTTAACCTAGCTTTGATGGCTTGATGATTAGAACTCCACTAGAGGAAGATTTAAAAAAAAACATTTTTTTACAAAGGAAACGAGTGTGAATTGCTACAATTTGATAAACTTCACCTATGCTTATTGATGTAATAGCTCAAAATACCAAGTGAGACGGAAAGAGTCTTCACATCAAATGTCAATCCTATCCCCTTTGTATACAGTGTAGATAGGGACCAGCAATTTAGACATAGTCTACCTAAAATGAGGGGGTGTTAAAGGCATGAAGTGGCTGGCTTACAAGTTTTCAAGAGGGAGTTTAGTTTACGAGTGTGTGGGGGAAGTTAGAGTCCCCACTGAATAGTTTTCATCTTGTCTAGATGGGTCTGGTGAAAGAGATGGGATAAGAGTCTTATGATTCAGTAGTGAGTAATTGTTATGACTAATTGTGATTGTCACAACTGTAAAGGTAGAAGTTTTGTTACAAAAATGGAGAAGTTAATCTTACAGTACAGAATCAGAGGACCCTAGGACCATCAAGGGAGAAGCACACAAGCAGAGTGTGGGACCCTATCCAGAGAAGCAGTGACACCAGAGATGGAGGCAGAGATGAGGACATGGAGAAAGGGAGTAGCTGAGGACTCTAGACTCATAGAAAGAGAAGGACTGGGTTCTGGCGGCCAGGAGGCAGACTTGTAGAATGTGCCCTTTGGTTGTTTAAGTTATTATATATTCCTGAGTGTTTCTGTGTACACCCCACACACAAAACAAAACAAAAAACAGGGAATGGAAGCAAATACTGTTGAATGATGAAGCATGGAGGGAGTTGTAATCATTGCAATGAAACAATGGTGTAAAACCGGTGTTTTCCCAAGTAAATGATCACTCAGTTCACAATAAAAACTTAAAAAAAAAAAAAAAAACTACAACCAAATATAGCCGTAGAGAGCAGGTCTACGCTGCCCTGCATGGAATTGTAATAAGTAGGCATTGATGTGATGACAATGGATTTGGTATTGTTTTTTTGTTTTTTGTTTTATTTTAAAGAAAGAACCATTTCAACTCAGTGCACTGCTGTCTCCTAGATGTACCCTTAAATTAAGACTTAGAAATTTGGTATTCCAAAGGAACTATCCTTGAGAATCTCTCAATGTTCAACTTACAGTTTGGGCTGAGCAAAAACTGAAGTCTACATTTAGAGAAATGGAATGTTTTATATGTCATCATTTTTCTAGGCCTGTAGATTTCTTCCCTTCTTCAGATTTCCATAAAATATGGATGCATAATAAAAGCAATATTGACTATTAAAAAAAATAAAATAATAATAAAAATTTTATTGACTGTTAAAAAAAAAAAAATCTACAGAACACAGTTCTATTCAACACACATGGTTTGCTTAGAGGGAAAGTTACTCCTGCTCACTCCCCAAGTATCTCCTGCCTGAAAATCTCTTCTGCTTTAAGGGGGCTGGGGGGGTTGGTACCTGTCATGGTGAAGCTTAACACACTGCCCACCCACACCCCTGCACCTGCAAGCTCCTAGTTACTCAGGGACAAGCAAAGAGCCTGTCATACTCAGAGAGGTTGAATGACTTGGCCAGGGTCACACAGCATCCAGGGATCCACTTTCCTGATGTTCTTGGGTGGCAGCTGGATAGGCAGAGACTGGGAAAGTCCTTCCCCACTAAGCCAGACAGAGGCCATTGTGTGTGGTGAAACCTCAGCCCTGGCCCCCTCCAAAAGGATGTGGGGTCAGCAGAGGTGAAGGCCAGCAGGGGCATGGCCACCCTTCCCCCATCGCCCTAGGAATCCCTCACGTGCTCCCAGCCTGGCCACATCTGGATCCCAGCTGGCAGCTCTGGGCCCAGAGAGCAGAGGAGGAGCTACCACAAGAACTTGCCATTAAAAGGCCAGGAGGAGTCTGGTGGCAGAGGGGTCAAAGGCAGAGGCAGCTCCAGGACCAGGGCTACTGCTGGGCAAGTCCTGGGTGGGGTGGGTAGAAGGAGGAGGCCCCATTCCTCTCCAGAAACATCCTGCAGCCCAGCCTGGGAGCCTCTCCCCTGTTCATCTTGCAGCAGGAAACAGAGAGGGGTGATGACTACCCGACAGTCACACAACCATAAGTCGTCAGGCCCAGAGAGGTTGAGCAATGTGCCAGTGACACACAGCATCCACAAGTCCCGAGCGGGTTCCAGCTTGGGTTCCAGCTCGTGTTTCTAGCCTCATTCCTAGGGCACCTGTTATCCCCTCCTTTTCCCACCTCCATCTTCCCCTTCCCCTCCAGCTATGTGTCTGCCTGACCCACAAGGAACAAACCAGGGAACCTTCCACCCACACCCAACAGAACCATCTGTCTGTCTGCAGAAAAACAGTGACACTCAGACCAGATAGAAGTTTATTGTGCTGATCAGTATGTCTCAGCACCCAAGAGCTGTGCCAAAAACGCTCTAGGCAGGATGGAGGGGCCTCCCCGAGCCTCCCCAAGTCAGGTGGAGGCCCCCGGTTCCCTGGTGAGGGATAGGAGATCACATGTGCAAGCAAGGGGTGGGGGCATTGGAACCCCTCCCTGACCCCCAAGTGTGGGGGGGCCTTCACACCACTTCCAGCTTCTAGGCTGTTTTAGGGGCTCAAAAGGAATTTACTCGCAGGTCAAAGTCTGGCAACACCACACATACACCGCACAAAGTACATCTCACAACCTAGATCAACCAGAAACTGGGGCCCCTTTGGGATGACTGAATACTCTACTACGTTTACCTCTGTGGTCAAAATGAGTCGAGGAAAAGGCTACATAAACCTAAATTCAACAGGGGCCTTGAGTGGGGGCCTCCTTAGAGCCCTGGAGAACCTTGAGGGGAGGGAGAGAAGCAGGGTTCCTCCACTCATGTGAAATCCTTTTCCCAAGGGGTATCTCAGGAAACCCAGTTTGGGAAATGTTCGTCGCAGAAGGTCTTAACTTAATCAGGCCCACTTCTGTTGCAGTGGCTCTGGAAAGAGGCAGAGGGACCCTAAAATATTTTAGGTTGCAGCGGGGGGTAGGGGGGGACACACACAAAGACCATGTCCCCAGACTGCTTTGTGCTGTAGGATCTTCCCTTTGACCTCTGACAAACGCCTACTGGTTCTGTTTCCTCTCTTCTTCTTCCTTGATGTTATCTCTCTCATGGGACAGACTACAGTAGCCCCAAGAGAACACATGCCCATCGCTGCAGGGGAGCTGTGCTGGGGGGTGCAGTCCCTTGGGGAGCTTGGGGAGACTCCTGGGGGAGTCCGGAGACCAGCACCTCAGTCCACTGTAGGATCAGGAAACTCTGGGGTTGGCAGGAGGGTGTGTCCAGGAGCAATCAGGGCTTTGTCATGCCCAAGAAGGTAACAGCAGGGGACGGGGCTATTAGACAATGGGGGTAACACTGCTACAAGCACAGAGGCTCTCAGGGGGACCAGCGGGGTCCCCCACTTCCTGGACTAAGGAAGGCACCGCTTCTGGATCCCCTTGGCCCTCAACAGCCCCCAACCCCTCCTCGGGCCCTACTGAGCAGGGCTCCTCAGGTGCCTTGGTGGGGCTTTCTGCTGGGAGTCCCTGAGCCTCCTTGTCCGCTCCTGGGCTGCTCCCCTCCTCCTCCTCAGCAGACTTAAACTCCACAGCCTTGGCTCCGTCCCTGCTGCCAGGGGCAGCCTTGGTGAGGGACTTGAGGTTCTGGGTGGCGGCAAGGATGTCGGCCTGCAGCTGCTGGGAGGAGTCCAGGACGTCCTCGGGCCGGCCAACTGAAGCCCTGTCAGGGACCTCGCTGAAGGCCCGGGAGCCGCCGGCCCGGTCACTCTGGTCCACGTACTTCTTCTTGGGGAAGGACGAGGGGTAGTAGGCGGAGGCCTTGTGCTTCTGGCGCGTGATGAGCGCGGCGCAGACGATGAACATGAGCAGGAACATCAGTGAGCCCACCACCGCAATGAGCATCACATACTGGCGGAAGAAGTCCACGATCCCGTCCATTAAGTTGTCGGGGGTCGGGGGACCGGCCAACACTGTGGGCCGGGGCCCCCCTGACGTGGGGTTGAAGGCCGGCATCAGGCTTGGGGAGGAGGCAGACGAGCCTTCGGCCTCCCCGCTGCCCCCTGCTTCCTCCAGGAAGTCGGCCTGCAGGGGCACCGAGTGGGGCGCCATGGGCACTGCGCTCAGGAGCAGCAGCAGAGAGACGAGGGTGGGGGCCGCTGTGGGAACCATGCTGTCTCCGGGGTCTGTGGGGGCACAGGGAGCAGTCAGGGGACGTCCCGTCCTCTACGTGCTCAGTCAGTAATTCCAGATTAATAATATGGAACACTTAAGAGTTTGGAGCCCTTGAATGATGCAAATGAATAACATGCTCAAAGGTTGTCTGTTTCAGTCCCCCCAGAGGCACCTTGGGAAATAGGCCTGGTGAGCTACTTCTGTAACCGCCAGCCAGTGAAAATCATCTGGGGCACAGTTCTACTGTGACATATGTGGGTGGCCATGAATCAGAATGAATACAACAGCACTGGCCAGTTATTTTACTGATTACCGCGTACCAAGCGCTGGTTGCAGTTCCTGATGGGAAAGTTCTAATGGACCCTGTCCCCATTTTCCAGATGAGTAAAGTGAGTCAGTGAGGAGTTAAGTGGCTTGCCTCACCCCCTGGCTCCACACGGCCACATGTGCCCAGGTTGGATGCTGAACATCTTCCAGCTCTACCTCCTTCCCCTGATATTCACAGGGTGAGAAGCCTCCAGAGGCTGTGAACAGAAGCCTGGGGGTTGGGGGACTCTCACCCCCTTTGAGGCACAAAGAAAAAGCTGCAGCCTGTAGATCCCTACCCCCCGCCAGCACCACTAGATGTGAACCAGATGAGCTCCCAGCCAGCTCGCGGTCCCAGGCTGATCCTGGCCTGAACCCCCAGACCCCATCTGGCTCAGACAGCCCAGCTGATTAATAAATCCCTAGTGGCCTGGCTTTATGGGGAGCCTGGTTTTCTAAAACACTCACTCTCCTGACAAGCTCAGGGACAGCCAGGCCGCTCCCTGGAAGTCCCTCCCCCCACCACACACACATACACACACACTCTCACATACCACACACTACACTGATAACATACATATGCACACTATACACATATACTGACCACACACACACCACACACACACACCACACACACTACACTGATAATATATACACACCACACACTCACACACACCACACACATTCACACTCAAACACCACATACACACACACCACACATTCTCATATACCACACACCATACTATACTAAGTGCACATCCACCCTCCACATACAATCACCCAATACACGTACATATCACATATACTATACTCATGATATAAATACACACAAGCTTACCACATACACTCACATGTACACCACACATATACTACAGTCATAATGTACATAACCTACAATACACATATGCCACACTGATAATACACATATACACCAGACATATAATACCACACACACAGTATACTCAGGATATACGTACACACATGCTCACCCCCCACACACCACACATATACTACACACACACCATACATGCCACACACACACTATACTCATAATGTACATGATGCACACCACACATATACTATACTGATACATATACACACCAGGAACACACCTACACACACACATGTACATACCACACACACACACACAGTATACTGATCATATGCATACAACACTCCCCCCACGCTTATACACACAACACACTATGCTGATAATATACGTACATGCACACATTCACTATAAATGCACATACTACACTGATAATATAAACGCACATACCACATATTCATACACGCCATACATATTCACACACAAATACCACATATGCACACACCACACAATACTGTACTCAGTGTACATACACCTCCCCCACAGACCCATCAAACATACATACATGCCATGCCACTACACTCATAATATGCATACCCACACACTCACCACACATCTACTACACTGATAATGTGCACACACCAAGAGCATATATGCCACCCACACACATACATACCATGCACAGAGTATACTGAGTGCATACATACACACAATCCACACACACACTGTATACATACACTAACTACCCTGATAATATGCATACAAACCCCCCACCCCACACACATACTACACACACACTAAACTGTTACTACACACACCACACACACATACAGCACACAGTACAATCATAATAAACACACACTCACCATATACACTTCCACACCACACACACTACACGGATAATATACACATACACTCACCACATACACACATATTGCACACACTACTGTGATAATAAACACACTTACTACACATACACACAACACACTACACTGATAATATGAACACATTCACCATAGACACATGCATATAACACACACTATACTGATAACAGACACTTACCACACATATAGACATACAACACACACTACACTGATATGAACACATTCACCACACACACATACATATAACACACAAACTACACTGATAATACACACACATACAACACACACTACACTGATAATACACACACTCACACACACACCAAATTACACTGACAATACACACACATTCACCACACATACACGCATACCACACACACCACTGATAATACACACACATTCACCACACACATACATGCAACATACACACTACACTGATCATATATACACTCACCACATATACATACATTCCACACACCCTACACTGATAATACACACACACTTATCACACATACATACATACACGTACATATCATATACACTACACTGATGATACACACCCACACACTCACCACACACATACCACATACACTATACTGATAATACATACACACTCACCGCACATAGACACATACATTACACACACACTACACTGATAATACACACATACTTATCATACATATATACATAGTACATGCACTACATTGATAATACACACACTTGCCACACACACATACATATCAGACACAGTACACTGATAATATACAACACTCACACACATATACATACCACACACACTCACTAAACATGTACACATACCACCCACTAACACTGATAATACACACACACACTCACCACACACACATACATACCACACATGCTACACTGATAATACACACACATACACACCCCACACTACACCGATAATACACACACATACTACATTGTCCACATCTGGCGGGGCCCAGGCTGGCCCAGGAAATGAGGTTGACCTCCCTTGTCAAATGGAGCGGTGTCAGGAGCCACTGTACTGCCCCCTCTGGTGCTCATTAGCTAAGACTCCTCCTGATAAGCCTGAGCTGTGTCCTCCTGTCCACCTGCTGTCCTCCACCTTGGCTCAAGGAGAGATGCTTCACTGTGGAAGTCAGCCCTGGCTCAGGAGGCTCTCCTCGGGTGGGACGATTATGAACTTACTTTTCTCACTGAAGTTCTGTGTGGGCCACCGAATGCCAGAGGAAGTGGGTGGGGCCTGGACTGGAAACCTGGCCCCTGGCATTCTAGTTCTATGACCTCGTCCTCTGGGCCTTACTTTTCCCCTTTTGTGAATTGGGATGGGAGGGGGAGAGGTATATGAACACAGGTCCTGCCTCACAGAGCTGTTGGTACCAGAAGAGAGTTCAGATGCAGAGCAGGAAAGATGGATTCAGGAGCAACAGGATTCCAGCTCCAGCAAAGCTCCAGGATCAGCCCACCTTTCCCACAATGTCCCAGCCTCATCCAGCAGGGACATTGGTTCATTGTTACATTCACCTATCTGTCTGGAAACTCCTCTGCTCTGGTCACTGAGGAATCTGGAAACACTCACACACAATACTCATCACACATACACCACACCACACACACACTCACACACACGCATAGGTCTTGGTGAAGGTCTTGGAGTCTGGGCAGAGTATAGAGGAAGCCAGCCCTGCTCCCCAAGACCACACAAATTATTGTGGGCTCGTTAAAAGTTCACAAGATTCTGGGAACCCTCCATCCCCTTCTGGTTCCCCAGGAAAGGCATGGGCAAAATGAGAGATTACATTCCCACCTGAGCCAGTCAGAGACCAGGAGATGGCGGAGTGACAATGTGTTCCCCCTCCTCAAATTTCCTCAACTGAAGGAAGAACAGAAGAACAACTCTGAAGTGATCGTTCTGGACCAGGGTCTGCCCTGCAAGTGCCCTCACCTTCTGGGAGAAAATGGGATCCTGATTTCTCCAATGTTGGTTCAGTCTCCTGAGTGCTAACTTTACCAAGAATTTGAAACTCATTTTATCCAAAAGAACAAACACTCAGGCCCAGAGACAGAACAATCCTCCCCGGGGGGGGCGGGGGGGGGGGGCTCAGCAAGTCAGGAGGGACAGCAGGCCAGAGTCCTCAATAGAAAGAATGGCACAGGTAACCAGGGGTCATGTGTCCTGGGGCTTTGTTTCCTCACCTGTCAGTGGGGATAGCAGCCACTTCCCTGGGCTATTTAGGACAAGAAAGAGCAGTGTCTGGTACACAGTAGGTGCCTATCAGAAGTAACTCTTTAAGGTCCCTCTCAAGTTTTGGAGTTTCAAAAAGCCAGGACTCTACTTGTGGTCGGAATATGCAGAAGAGTGCAAATTCACCCATCAGGCCTGGATGTCCCTAAACCTAAGGCTGAGCAGCCAGAGCCATGGATATATCCCACCCCCACCCACAGGCTGGTGGCCAGAGGGGCTGTGGTGGCTGGCCTTTGAGAACCTGGCTTCAATTAGTGGCTTTGGGGGACTGAAGAGGGGGGACTCTGGCGAGCCACTACTCCACTACTCCAGGGCCAGCCAAGGGCATAGACCTGGAGCTCTGAAACCCTCACCTTCCACGTACACACAGACATACAACCTATCTCACAACACACGCGCTGCAGAGACTCATAATGCACAAAATGCTAACCTCAACACACAGCAGCAGCAGGGATAAACACCACCCAGACAGACAGACAGACAGACAGACAGACACACACACACACACACACACACACACACACACACACACACACACACACACAGGCACGCTGACTCAGCTACAACCACAGGCACACAGCCCCTGAGACTCAATAACACACTCACCTACACAACGCTGACACAAAGCCAGGACCCACTCACAGAACATCTGACCCATACGCACAACTCCCGTTACTTAGAGGCACCCCTTGTAAGTGCTCATACTGTCCCGGCTGGTTCTGATCCTGGA